GTTATCATCTTATGTCCCCCTCAAAACCCTACAACTTTTGTCCGAAACATTTTTTCCTAGTGTGCTTATTTTTCGAGATATTCGACTGGATGGATTAAAATGGTCCACCCTGCATATATATATATATATCTAGAAAATTTACAAATATTTTTAATAAGAGAATATATATATATATACTTTTATTAAAACTATTTGTAAATTTTCTGGATAAATTTATCATTTGCACGAACGTATTTTTTAAAACTTCGAAGCGTCGAAGCTTCGAAGTTAATTTTAAACTTCGAAGCTTCGAATATTTGAAGTAGGTGAAAAGTAACAGCCCTAACTTAAACCTACAATCAGACACAGAAGCGTTACATTATTCCTATTTATCAGTACTAAACAGATTGTAAATAATCTCAAAGCTTTATGTCACACGTAATGTAAAATCGTTTATATCGCTCATTTCATGTTGAGAGTTTGAAATGGAAACGTCTTTATACACAAGGAAGGGAAAATTATATCTGTAAATTTGTGTTATTCTACTCATGTGATAAATAATTTCCTCACATCGATGATTACAATAATCCATGTTTCATTTCTTCATATATTGCGACTTCTTGCGGTAAATTCAAGATACATAAAAATCTAGAACAAGTAAGACGAGCGTAACACGTCCTTTTACAGAATTTATTTGCTACTTAAACCACATGGCTTTGTAACCAAGGTAGACTGCACGCTCAGTTTCCTTAATGGACTGCTGAATGGAGTTTGGGAAATATTTTAATTAATTGAGAAAATACTAATGATGACTCGAAGAGGAGTCTAAACGTCTATTTCCGGAAACTTGTTTTCTAAATGTGTATGTAGATCTCATTATTAAAGAGATTACTTGCGTTCTACTAACTGCACCTAATTCTCATTTGCCCGTTGTATTTTAATGTTTAACTTTTGAGAGTCTAATTAGATTTTATTAAAAAAATATATAGTTAACTACACAGTTCAACAAGAAAAAGCACTATTATAAAACTAAGGTAATTTTTCAATTTAGCGTCTCACCTCAAACATCGATAAATGTATGCTTATTTGATACATTTTTGCATAAAATTAAAGAAATTGACAGAAGAAAACGTCAGTTGTGCATGCGTTGTCATAATCAAAATGTGTGAAATACAAAATGTTTTAAACCCATGTATATTCTGTTGATAGCAAGAACGTACCTGCTTCTGCGTATATGGACAGCATAGTGAAAAGAATACATACTTGGGTAAAAACAAGTTTCTTAAATGACATACCTACCGTTAGGCCCTACTCATTGTTAGTATCGTATATTGGCATTAGTGGCACTTCAATTTTTCTTTAATTGCTATGTTATAAAATCTTTACATTAAAAAACATTGAACTAAAATGTTCGACGGAGTTTTGATGATAAGTAATAAATAATACCTATAATCGTAATCAGTATGCTAAGGGTTTGATGTTTTGATAGTGACATAAACAAGCTATACGAGCTTGAATGCAAAGTAGCAGTAGAGAGGGCCGCTCTCCAAGCGTTCTGTAGGGGAGACATGCACGAGACAGATGAATTCTCATCAAAGTTAGGTACGTTCTTGCTATGAACAGCGTATAGACCTTAACTTCATGTTGTAAAGTAAAATAAAATCTGATAGAAAAAAGCGTCGCTCTGCCCCGTGAACCGAGTTATTAATCGTTAAAAATGATGACTTTTGAGGTAGGAAATTTGTCATATTAATGATGTAGCGGCGTGAACATGTCCTGTCGCCACATGCGCATGCGTTGTCATAATCGAAATGTGCGAAATACAAAATGTTATAAACCTACGTAGAACGTAACTTCGTGTTGTAAAGTATGCGTGGAGGCAGTATATTCCGTCCTTCTCCTTTCCACGGGAGGTTTCTACCTTGTTAAAACTAATAGCTAATCTAACCCAAATTATATTTTAATTTTAAATAAAAAATAGATTTGCGTGGAAAGTTGTAAATCCAAGTGAAACCTTGATTCGCATAGAAAATTGAAAATTCATGTGGAAAATCCCAGCTTCGCGTGACAAGTTTAAAATGAATTTGCACAATATCGTAACATTTCGAGCTTTCGGCCGCCATTTTCGATGCCGCCATCATGAATTTTGAAATGAGTATGTACACGTTTTAAAGTTTAGAGTTCATGGACGCTGTATTTTGACTCCTCAAGACCATCCTAATGTTGTTTCGATGTGAAAATATCGCTTAAAAAAAAAATTTGAGTGAAAAATCACGGTTTTTTTCCAAAAAATCGACTATAACTTTTTTGGACTTTATTTATGACAAATTCTGATGGCAGATTCTGAAAGAGCAAGAAATTTTACATCAGAAATGATGTTGCTAGAATTTTTTCAAGGCCATTAAAATAAAAAATTAAGCCACTGAATATTGTTCAAAAAATGTGTCCGCCTGGACGTTAATGGGTTAAGTTCTTAGCTGTGCATAAGGAATAGACTAATTTTTGTAATCTTAATCTGATTCAGCGGTGTACGTGTCATCCGTCAAGAATTACATTT